GGATTGCGGAGGCTGGGGGTGGGGTGGGCCAGGGGTTGGTGTGGGAGTGAGGGGGTGGGGGTTGCGTTCATCGTCGTGCATGTGCGCGTGGGTGTCAGCATGTGCGCCCGTGAATCGCGGCATGCTTGCATCATGGACGCTTTTCGTCCGTGAGCTTTGCCTTGCACACATGCACGCACACATACACACACACACATGCGAGCACACACGCATGCACACGCACACGAAAGAATGCACATACGCTCTAACGCATGCATGCACGCATGCGCGCATGCACGTACATACCCTCACACTCATACTTGCTCCCACTGTACCCTCTCTGACCAGGCCTCCTGGTCGCGCATGCCTGGGCTGCCCATGAGCGTGGCCCAGTGCCAGAAGCGCTTCAAGATGCTGCAGTCGCGGCAGGCCACCAGGAGCCAGATCACGGCCCTTGAGGACAAGGTGAGATGAGCTGATCGCTGTTCACATGCGGGCCCTTGACGAAATGGGAGGGGGAGGTCTAGCTGCTTCTGCACGTGACGGCTGCAGACCGGAGGGGTGGCCATTGCGGCGCTACGCAGAAACGTCGAAGGAGTGTGGACCCTATCTGCGTGCAGCCACACGGCCCTGGCCGCAGCTCTCACCGCTCCAGACAGCCATGCCAGCCGCGACAGCTGCGGCTGTCACAGCTGTGATGTGCGGCGGCAGCAGGAGCAACTGCCCACGCTAATCCCCGCCCTGCCGGCTTCCGCCCGAGCGGCCAAGACCCAAAACTCGTGCGCATGCAAACCAACCTGCATGCGCGCCGCACCTGCAGGCGCAGCAGGTGTTCGCATCGCTGACTCAGCGCACCCTGAGGCTCAAGCAGGAGCTGATGCGGCTGGCCAAGGCGCGCCGCTTCAGCAAGAAGCATCCGCAGAGGGAGGAGGTGCTGGACCAGGTGGGTGCAGCGCCTCGACCCAAAAAATGTGATCTCGTCTGAAGGTGGCGCCAGGGCAGGCCTCGCCTTAGTCAGGGAACACCTGGGTCATTGACGATTAACGCCCTCTACACGGGCGGGGAGTTGCCGACAGCGCCCCTCGCTGAGAGCGTGCTGGCGCGGCCCTCGCGACACTCCGCCAGTCCCCGCGCACACGACGGCCCATGGCGCGCGCAGGTGGCGCGCCAGACCGTGCAGCAGGTGCTGGACGCGCAGCAGCAGCAGCAGCGTGAGGAGCTTGCTGAGGTGGGGGCTGAGGAGGAGCAAAGAGGCGGGGCCGGCCTGCAGCAGCAGCAGCAGCAGCAGCAGCAGCCAGCCAAGGCGCTGACGCCTGCGAGCGGCGGGATTGACGTCGCTCTAGTGGGGCCCCTGGAGCTGTCCGCGGGCGGCGAGATCATACTGCTGCCCGGCCCGGATGAGCTGCCGCTGATGAATGAGATCCGCGACGCCATCGCTCACATGGAGGGCTTCCGCAGCGGTAGGCCAGGCGGCGACAGCGGCCGGCCCGGCAGCTCGCGGCGGGAGCGGGGCCTTGCGCCTGAGGGTGAGCGGCGGCGGCGCAGGCGGCAGAAGCGGGCTGCGGGCCAGAACGACGGCGCACCGGCTGCGGATGAGATGCGCGACAGCGACGAGGAGAGCGGGGGCGATGGCCAGGGCGTCCGTGGCGGCGGCGGCGGGACGAGCGACACCGACTGGGGCGCGGCGCCGCTGCGGCGCCGGCGGCGCGGCTCGCCGGTGCAGCGCTTCCCGGACTTCCGGACCGTCGCGCAGCTGGTGGCCTCCTGGCGCTGCCACACGCCCATCGCGGCCCGCGGCGACGCCGTGCCACAGCACGCTGCGACGGCAGACGCGGCGACCCCGGGGGTTGGCGGCGAGGCGCTGCTCGGCGAGCGCGCCGCCGCGGAGGCCGCCGCGGCGGCCCCATCTGCGGGCGCGCTCGCGGCCGCCGCGGCGGAGGGCGACGCGGCGCCGCCGCTGCCCGTAATCGTCGCCATGCGGCTCATCCAGTCGCTGATCTGGATGGCTGAGGAGGGCGCGGCGGCGGGCGCGCCACTGCCGAGGGACGCGTCCGAGGCGCTGGTCCGCCGCTTCTCCGAGTCCGAGGTTGCGGACGCGTTCCGCTGGCTGCGCGCTCTTGGGTGGCTGAACTATGGCGCGGCCCGGCGGCCGTTCATGATGAGCGCCCCGTGGCGCGCGCGGCTGGCGGGCGCGCCCGGCGTGCGCACGCAGATGCGCGGCGCCGCGGGCGCGCGCGCGGCGCTGGCGGCCGCGCTGGACGGCGCGGAGG